ATAAATATGAAGAGCAGGTGCAGGCCGGGAGGGAGTCATTAGGGCCATCATTAAAGAATTGCAGGTGAAACAGCTGGGACAAGTGGCCTTTTCTTCGCTCTGTCCCTTTCCCTTACAGCCCTCTGTTAGCAGCAGCATTTGACCTTTGCCCTCAGGCTGGCGTGGTCTAGGGACAGCCTCTAGGGAGGGTGTTGAGCCCTCCACAACAGATGGGAGGAAAAACCAAAAAGGAAAACCAGCAGCAGTCTGAAGTGAAAACCTCTAAGGGCCTCCACCCCCAGAGAAAAGCCCTCCTTCCTTATCAGCTGTGGGGGTCCCTGGTCTTCCTGCTTCTCCACCCACATAACCAAAAGGGAAGCCTGCTTGTTTATATGACCTACCGTCTTCAACAGAAGCCACAGTTAGCCCTCCCATTCCGGAGAGAGGTTTGTATGGGAAATGAATGAACACAACTGCAGGGGAAACCTGTGCCATCTTCCCAGAATAAGCAATTTGATCATTCATTCATACATATGGCCAGACAGCTAAAGATCACCAGGCATTTCAGGGAAAATGTCGACACGAAAGAGAGCACCTGGAATAAATAAATGGAACTGACTCCAGAAGAAAGACAGATAATTAAAGAAAACAGTGAAAACGAATACATTCTGATTTATACCACGAGAGAAGCCAGTCAGTTCTATTTTTCCAATTTAAAATGTTTCACAGCTTCCCTTTCTATCCCCTTAAAAGAAAAATGAGTAATTTGGTATAGAGTCACTAATTTTATGCATTGTGTCAGGATCCAAGGATTCAGAGGCTTACAACACTGTATCTTTCCCATAGAAGCTGATGGTAGAGGTGTCAGAAAAGTCAATTATCATGTGATTTGATAAGTCTATGGCAGATTAACCATAAATAAGTGTACCTTGGTAGCTGGGAGAGGATCTTTCCCTTGAAACTTAAGGACAAGAGAGGAAGGAATCAACCTGTGCACAGGGAACTGCATGAAGAAGCACAGCACTTTTAAGGAAATAAAACCAAATCATTGGTCTGATGTGCAGAGATAAGCATGAGCTAAATAGTGGAAAATCAGGAGAGAAAAGTGAGCAAGGGTCAGCTTATCTGTTGTGCTAAGAATCAAGACATTATCCTCCAGACAAGAGTCTTCCAGATCTATTCAGGGAAAATAGTCTTTGTGAAGCCCTTTGTAGAACAAACAAAATGCTGATATATTTAACTCTTTTGTATATACTGGAAATAATTTTCCTTGCAGAAACTATGACTGTGTTCTATGTTATCTATACAAAATCACAACCACAAGCATATTCATACCAAAAACAAGTTGTTGAATTATTATGCATTTAAAAATGTTTCCCTTGATACTTATTTGCTACAAATAATTTACTACCTAGCAGAAAAGCACTAGTAGAAAAACATGAGAGCAACTTAAGTAAATTCTGTATAGGAACAACCAAAAATGAAACAATTCACAGCTTCAATTTAATTCTTCTTGCAAACTAAGAAAAAGATCGCCAGTAATTGATTTGGGCTACAGGCAATTTCATGCACTTCTGTGGGTCTTCCAATTTCTTGGAGAACTTTGAGAATCATTTCTGGATTTTTAAGGCAACTGAAGATTTTAAATGAGGCCCAACATAATGGCCAGCCAACTCCTTACTGGAGAGTGATGGAAATGGTAGGTCCTGACCCAAAGTGTTTCTAATATAGACTCAAATATCATAAAATGGAAGTAGGAAAGGTAATAACTTGTTGAAAGAAGTTGGAGGGCCAGGCAGAAGGAGAATGGAAGAAAGAGGAGAATTCAAGGACTGAAGTACAAGCACTTCTTTCTGGAGCTGTTGCTGTTTATGGTGAACCTGCCAGGGCACTGTGTCAATGTATTTTCTTGGATCTGTGACAGAGTCTCAGAAGACCAAATCATAATTGATAATATGACCATTTAAAAGGTTTGGAATTAACATTCTCCTGGAAGTGTGGAAAATAGATGGATTAAGATAGGAAAGGAAACAAAGAGATAAGTTAGAAAGGTACAGTTCAATAAACTATGAAAGAGAGGATACACAGACCTGGGCAAGAATATTGGCAGAGAGCATGGATGGAAATGGTGGTGCTCAAGATGTTTTAGGGAAGAAGAAATCTCTGGGGTTGGGGAACAATATGAGGAGAGAGACAAGAGAATTATGGATGAGCCACAGGTCTCTGGCCTGGGTAATTAGGAGAGTGCAAAGACCGTTCGTTGATTACAGAAAGAATGAAAGGGAGAAAGAGTTTGAGTTGGAAATGAAGTGAGTAGAAACAGTCATAAGTACTTACAAATTTGAAGTTTGGGTCCAAAGTTGGAGATTTAGGATTTTTCACAGTGAAGATGACAGTGAAAATCATGAAATTAGGTTAGAACTTCCCAAAGTAAACAAAGATAACTAGAATTGAAGAGAGAGGAGGAGAGGGTAAAAGAGGAAGGAAAGAGAAGAGGAAAAGTAAGGAGAAAAAGAGAAGGATAGGGGAAGAGAGCGAGGAGGACAGCAAAAGACAAACAGGTGAACATAGACAATACTAAAATTTTAAGGGATACAAAAACTGGAGTCACATAAAGATTGTCTCTCAGGGACAGAAATCCTTAAGATCTCTGAGACCCATATGAACTTGGGCAATGAAAATATGCATATTTTATTTGTTTATTTGTATTTATATTAATTTTTAATTATTTTATAAAGTATGCATGACTAACTAGGTCAGGTAAATCCCCAATATTGGAGTAGTAAACAAATTTATACTTGAATATATACAGGGGGAGAACCTTAAATTAGAAAGATTGTGTGCCCGGAGCTTGTAATGGAAAGCCTTAAAATACTGGCAAAATTAAGACTAATTATTTCGGAGCTTGGGATTTAGCTCAGCAGCATAAGCATCTGCCTTGCAAATGTGTGGTTGTGAGTTTGATCCCTGGTACCGATAGAAAAGAAAAAGACAAAAAAAAGACTAATTATTTCATGCATATATCATCTCATTGTACACCTTAAATAAATACAATTTGTATTTGTCAATCATGTGTCAATAAAGCTGGGAAACAAAATAGGAAAGAATTGTGGTGACAAAATTCAAGGATGGCTTGAATGTCCTAGTGGATCACCTCAACCCACACAGATGGATGACAACAGAAGAAATCAACAGAATACTGGAGAGGTTGCTAAAGATGAATTCTAAAATAGTATCTGCCAAAACTGTTACTGAGCTAATAATGGTAGAAGCAGTGTCGAGAGCATATTGTGGAGAGAAGTCAGAGTGCAAGAACCTAGAGATTACATAAGGAAGCCAGAGAGGTTGGGCAAATTTTTTTGACAAGAATTTTCTAGAAGCTGGTCACATGAGCAAATGTTACTATTGCCTGCGTCTCTGCAGTCCCTTCATTTTCTCCCATAAGGCTTTGCAGGGCTCATCTCAGGGCCCTTGCAACTCTTACACTTTGTTTCTACATAAAACTGGTCTTGGAGAAGGCCTTGAGCCAATTTTGGGTGTCATGATAATTTTCTTTCAGCAGAACTAAGGTCACTTGTCTAACAACTGAGGCCTCTAACTTGACTGATCAAAGCTCATCACGTGCACTGAAGCCACCTACTTGGCAGATGTAGTGAAAAGCTACACAGATCTGAGCCCAGGACAGGATGCTAGGGCGTGGGAGGGGAAGAAAGCAGGTGTTGACTACACAGACAGCATGCCTATCAGAGCAGCTTTTACATTTCCTATTCGTCTCTCAAAACAATTTTATAGGAATCGCCAAAGCAGTCTTATCACTGTTTCTAGATGAGATTGGGATGTGGGGTTGGGATTTCCCAAGGGTGTTTGGGTTAAAGCCAGTCTGATAAGATGATGCAAAAACCACTCAGCAATGTGTAACCCCGTATACCTCAATGATTCAATGCATGCTCACAATCAAGGTGCTTTTGATATTGCTACTATCAATTTGATTTTTACCAGTATGTAAAGAGGTAGCAAGTATTTGGAAAACTCATGTCTTGGGCTAAATAAATTCTTTAAAACTAAGTGTAAGAGTTGTGTGTTGCTTAACCTGCAAATCTGTGCTATGCATATCTTTACTCAATCTTCATAGTAAACTATGAGAGGGGCAAGGCAGGTACCACTTTGAGTATGAGGAAATTGAGGCTTAACACGTATAGTAATTTGCACACAATGCACAGCAATTTATTGGTAGAGCAAACGATAGAAGACAAAACCCACAGTTGCAGCCTATTTGCCTTATCCCAACCCATTGCATCAGCATCAGTGATAATTCATGGGTTAGAACAGTGTAGATGGGCCACATAGCTGCAGTGAGCTAATATTTTTACTTTAACTTCAATCCTGCAGTTTTGGCTGATTTCCCTGAAGAGTCTATTTAGGCTTTGCCTTTGAGCAAAGGTTTTTTTCTTGCATTATATTTCCAGCTAAATTACATTTCACAATTGTTAGCACTCTTTTTTGCTTTATCCATGTAGTATTGACTTGTGAAGCCACTAAGATTTTGTTGAGCTCCAAGATTAAATACATAAACCTTTGAAAAGCAACTAACTAGTGGCAAACTAGTCACAAAATCAATCCAAACTTTTGTCTGCCATTTGTTTCTTTCCCTTTATGCCAGTTTCTTGCTTTATGTTAGTAAGATCAGAACTGAAATAAGTCTACTGCTGGCGGATTAATTTGTCACTTTCCTTGAAACTGGTGAGCCCAGAATGTTAGACAGTGATAGGAAAATACAGCCACTGTCTGTTAAAAAGTCTATGACATTTCAAGGCAAGAATGAATGTGTGGAAGAAGAAACTTGTTTCTTCTTTACTAACAAAAGGGAAAGCCTGGAAGTGAATGATATGGGTATATATATATATATATATATATATGTATATATATATATATATATATATATATATATAAAACCTTTACGTAACTTTTTTGCTGGGAGAGAAGACTACGAAGCACATTTTCCAGGAAGTGTGGGCTGCGACGATTGTGCGCTCTTAACTAATCCTGAGTAAGGTGGCTAATTTGACAGTCTTTTCATGCTGCCTCTGCCACCTTCTTGGTCAGAAGATATCATTTCAACTTTAACTCAGCATGATCGAAACATACAGCCAAACTTCTCCTCGATCTGTTGCCACTGGACTGCCTATCAGCATGAAAATTTTTATGTATTTACTTACTGTTTTTCTAATCACTCAAATGATTGGATCGGCATTTTTTGCTGTGTATCTTCACAGAAAGTTAGACAAGGTAAGATGAACTACAATCCTTTGTTAACTAAATTGGGAGTCTAATTAGTTTGTGGGTCCATCTATTTTAATTCTGCTCAAGCAATGGAGAATGACAGACACTCAAGGGCATTAATGGTGTTTCTGTGGTATATTTGTTGTCTGGTTAGTGAAGTCTCATAATTCTTGCCCTGGTTAAGATCTTGGGATCTAGAGTTGCATGGCTTAGCTTCAAATCTTGGCTTTGACCCTACCAGTTCTGTGATCTCAGGCAAGTTATTTCACATTTTTAATGCCTTAGTTACCACACTTGAGAAATGAGAATGGTAATAGCTCTCATCTCAGAGATGAAGTGATTCTAGCCTTGTAGAGCGCTTGGAATAGTGCCCGGCACAAGGTGAGTGCTGTGTGGACACTAGCTATCATTATTCCTTCAAGTTTTACTCTAAAAGTTCAACAATTTTTTCAGGTAGAGACCATTTTTCCTTTTTAATTTCCACCTGGGGAAGGAGCACACCAAGTTGATTTGAAATTTCATAATGCTCCAGGTTAGCACATAGATAAGTCTTCAAACTTGCAAGAGTTTTTTTTTCCCCTAAAAGCGGTCCTCTGCACAGTTCTTCATGTGCCAATTGTAACTTCAAGCTGCTCAATGCCCACCCAAGGTACTTTTACACTCTTAAGTGGCTGAACTTACAAGAATAAATGATAAGAGTAACTTAGTGGGTTGTTTTTGCCTTCTTAGGAAAGAACATGCTAAGATTTATGTTTTTTGTGTGTATTTGACCACTTCCTCTGAAGGACACTACTGGTCATATTGGCAAAATGCAAGTCATAGATAAATAAGAAAAAATGATCAATTTTCCAGCTGTTCCTGAAAGTCTGGACATAGGAGCTGTGGCTCCACAGTATCTGGATCACTGCATTTTCCCAGGGGTCTTTGGTGGTCCTCTCTTGCTATATAGACCTAGAATTAGGGTCACGAAGTTTTCTGCCAATATAATGCAAAATAGTGTGGGTTGAGATGATCCACTAGGACATTCAAACTTTAGGACACTCCTGAGGAAAAAAAAACGGTGGGTTCTGGATTGCTGATACTTGTTTGTTTGCTCTGGTGGGCTCTGTTGGTCAAATGTCTGGACATATGCCTCACCTCCAAAGGGAAAAAATAGCCCTGGTAAACTCGAGTATACCATGGCACTGAGGTGCGTCCTTGCTGGCAACCAAAGTCACGAGCAAACATGATCTTGTTTTGAATCTTAAAAATCGACACATAAGAAAATGGCATAGTATTAGGGGGTGAAACAAATGAATTCTATACATTTAATTATGAAGACATTGGAAAATAAAATATCTCATTAACTTGAAGCATGACTTCTTTAAAAATGCAAATGTCTTCCACAGATACTGAAGTCAAGATGGGACAGAGGTATAATTAGAATTTGAGTTAATGGACGCACATTAGAAATTAAGTTATTTGTAAAACACTGCAACATGTACACTAAAATGAAGTGTGCAAATTAGGTCAGCTGAAAATGTGCTCTTTGATGGAAGTTCATTAGAGTAACTGATTTCTACCTAGAGTTTTGGATAATACGATGTCTCCATTGCTTGCTTTTGTAGTTTTTTTTTTTTAATGGCCCATACCAACTAGCAATAGTGCAGTGTAATAACATTATATTTTCCATTTATGCTCTCAAAAACATTTTCTTGCTGGTGCCATGGAAGTGAACATGGAGGTAGACATCATTAGCTGCATTCTTCTTCACAATGACATTTCTCATATCCTTGTTATCTCAAAATAGATAGAAGATGAAAGGAATCTTCATGATGATTTTGTATTCATGAAAACAATACAGAGATGCAACAAAGGCGAAGAGTCTTTATCCTTGCTGAACTGTGAGAAAATTAGAAGCCAGTTTGAAGGCTTTGTCAAGGTAAGGCACTCACTTATTGGTAAAAGTCACTGAAAAGTTGTAGCACATTTGTTAGGTTAGGAGACTGAAATTGAACAATGCAAAAGCATCAAAATCCACTATATACTCATATCTGTGTGCACACATACACACACATGTAAATACTTACCTGGGTATCTATATGTATGTATCAAAGAAAAAACAAACATTAAACCAAAATCCTGTGTTAAAAAGGGAAGGAAAGTTAGAAATGTGTGTATTCCTGCTTAATAAGATCAAAAGGGTGTCTCTTGGGGAAAATACACATTTTCTTGACCATGTGTTTATATACCCTCACGAGGTGACATATTTTGGTGCCATTGAGCAAATCTACAAAATATATCAAGCCTTTTTTTTCACTTCTCTATTTCCTCACCCAAAACTTGATGTCTTCCCACTGTGGAGCCACGCTCTAACCCCCACCCCGCAGGGAAGAAATAGCGCCAACAGGAAAAAGTATTGCTCATTTTGGAGTGGTGGGAACTTCTGAGGTCAGACACAGTCTCTGATGCTCAGCCGCGGATGGAATTTCAGTGAGATCTTTCCCTTTTGTCGTGGGGAAGGAAGATGTACACGGAATGAGCAATGGGCATTCTTAGTACCACACAAACCACACCGCATTCAATACTACTTTCACAGTCCACTGCGGAGTCAGTCATGACCAGAGGCAGAGGTTTAAAACCCTCTAACCCATCAGCTGAGCCAGCTTAAAATCAATTACAACTTGCGGCCTACAATGAGTACCTAAAACAAGAATTTGTAGGATTTTTCTTTAATTTGCTCATCACGGATATGAGGCCAAGGGGCTCCTTTTCCCAAGAAAGAACATCAAGTATTCTCGTTTCCCATTTCCCTCTCAGAACATTGATTCAAATCCCTTTGGCCCTCAGCTCACGTAGAGTTCTTGTCTAGGAACTGCATGTCGAGGGCAGCTCTATGTCAGGTGAGCGGGTATCTGCATAAACCAGCAGGAATTAATTCTCATATGCAGTTAAAAATGCTTTAATTTAATGAGGGAGTAAGGAACTTAAGATCTTTTTCTGAACTTATTCCTGCCCTTCTGTACTGTAACCAACACGCAATATAATTTAGTACTGATGACTCTGACAATTTATTCCGGAGTTACCTACAAGAATCAGAACATGGCTCAAATCTGCCACTGGCCTTAAGGTTCTTTAGGCTCGTCTAGGTTTTAGATGAAATTTCTGGTCCTTTACTTGCAAAACTGGCCCAGTTTGAAAACAATTTGGGTTTCTCTGGTTCTTAGAGGATCCCGGTCACCAATACAGAGTATTTGGAGGTGTTTCAAATTTGAGCGTGAATAAAGCCATGTTCAAAACAAAGGGTAATCCAAAAAGTACATCATGTGTGTTTGGCTGTTTGACATTAGGCAAATGACTTCTTACTTCTCTCATGTCTAACACGAGAAGGCTTAAATTATCTGTATGGACATTGCCAGTTCTGACATTCTGTAATTATCTGATCAGCCTTCATGTCCTTCAAACGGCAGTGAGAGTTGCTTGTTGGTTTTCTCTTTTCCTCACATTCTCATTGAGAATTTTACAGTTCACCTGACAATTCCTCATGTCCTTATTTCAGATCAGAAGTGTAAAGTTCCCCAAATCATCTACCCAGGATAAGATAAAGGGAAATATTAGGTTTGGCCTCCATGCTTACACTTATAGTAAAAAGGAACAGATCTAAATTTGATGTTCTAAAAAGGCGGACTTTTCAAGGCACGTCCGCCAGGGTTCAGTGATCTCCTGACAGCATTCCTTGTCTCTGCAGCAGCAGGTTGGAACCCTGGTCAATACCATCTGTACTGAAGCTGTGCACAAATGGTTACTGAAAAAGTCCTTTAGCTACCCAGTTCTCCAACCCTGTGACTTTTTAATGCCCATCCCCCCAAATTTTTCACTCTGAAACAGTTTTCAACTTTTTTTTTTTTTTAACTCAACAGGTCAACTGTTGAATAACCCCAGATTGCATTTGTACTTTCTTAGCTAACGTTACAAGACTTTCTTTCAGGGCTGCAGTCTGGCTAGTTCAGAGTAGCCCTAAGCTTCCATTTCAGGCCCTCAAGTCATAGGGCTTGACAAGATCCGATTCTTAATTCTCAGACCTTGAGTCTTTTCTCCATCATCCCTACTGAGTGATCACGCAATCTTTATTTGAAGACTTCTAGTGACAGGGACCGTATTATCTCCTGAGACAAACAGCACCACACTGCACTCTGAAATAAGGGAAGCATGGAATTCAGAGCATAAATGTGAGGCATCGTTTTTAAATACTGCCTTTTCACCTTAAAACTTACAACTCACCTGGTAGAACAGTCAGCACTGTGATTATTTGCCCATGATTGCCTGAAATGCTTTTGATAGGGTCAAAGTATCTTCAAGTTAAAGGGCAACCTGTCCATACTTGCCACATAGAGGTCCCACTAAGAAAGAAAGAAATAATCCAAGATTTATCGAGAGTCAACTCTGAACGTCTTTTGATTGAAGTAGAGAATTAAGCAAGAAAATAAAAAGAGTTCCAGGGAGTGTGGCTGGGGAAGAGTTTACAAAAAGGCAAAGCTGGGGTTATAAAAGACAAACCTCGCTGACTTCACATTTTCATTTTAGCCAGGCCCCAGCACCAATGCAACCACGTAGCCTAAAAGTATCTCAGCCTCAATCATCACACTCTAGTTTTTGAAGACACTAAACAGTCATTTGTTTACTTGTTATCTCACAAACATTTTCCTGTCACCCCTTTTTCATAGTGCCTCACTTCACCTCGAATGGAAAGTTGAGGCTCTGGGGCCCATGTGAGCGTGTCAAGGCTCAGGTTCCCCTCGGGGCGCTGTGACTTACACCCTCACATCTGCCAACTGAGCTGAGCCTGCAGCTCAAGCGTCAACAGCAACAAGAGAAAATGCCTTCTAGAAGACAAAAACTAAGGAGGGACCTTGTAGACAATTAATTCTAGGAACAGAAAAGAGGGCAAGACTTTGATTATGAGAAGATGTGAAAATACTACTGTCTCCCTCCTTGGGTTCAGCTGAGTGAGGGTCTAGGATCTCTTGGTTTAAGTTTCAGAGCCTTTGGGTGACCTAATACTGGCCAGTTAAGCCCTCCAATCCTTGTTTCAGCCTCTTTAAAATGGCAGTGATAGCCTTTCTCATCTTCTAACCTGTGCTGGGGGAGTCCCTGCTAGCTTCTTCAAGTACTTCTAGCATTTTTTCAGTTTATAAGGGAAAAAGAAATCTTTCAAGTAGTGTTGCATTTGCCTTTGAATATCAACAGCGTTGGGAGATGACCCATGTTTCCTAAATGCTAATTATTTTAAATAAATACAAGCCATATAGGATAATAATCAACAAGAGAATCTCTCAAGCCAATTGAAAGAGATCATAAAATCATGTGAAGGCCATTTTATGGTCTGGGATTTATCTTCAAAGGTCAAACTTACTGTGAACTTTTCCCATGAGATTTCAGACCAATTTTATTATAATACTTAAACATCATGCATTATGTTTAATAATATTCAATGTAACAGTTCCCAGGGCAAAATCATATCTTTTTTGAACCTTACTTGTCAATATCTGTCAAAGCCAGGGAGGTTAGGGTCATAGGGAGGGTCAGTATTACAGCCTCTGGTCTGGAGAGAGCACTGGATTGGAGATAATAAGGCTTGGATTTTGTTCCAGATTTTCCCCTGGGCTTTCTGGGTTGTCAGCTCATCTGTCAGAGCCATGAATTTCCAATCGGTATGATAAAATTAACGACAGCATCTTAGTCTATATGATAATCCTCACTAGGAACAGGCAACAGTAATGACAGATGCCAAATGAGTGATACTGCTAAAATCCCATCACAGAGCTCCTGTCAAAATGACCTCTTCCAATGATTCTTCTTTTAGGATACAATATTAAACAAAGAGGAGAAGAAAGAAATCAGCTATGAAAAGCAAAAAGGTAGGTTGCTATTCATCGATTTCTATGAATGTTTATGTACTAAAAGGAAGCCTTAGGCTGATCCTATTTAATCAATGTTAAATTAGGAAACTTTTAGCCCTGGAAATAAAACAGGACTAAAATTGTCAACTTGATGCCTGATCTGGTCCCTGTGATTTGGAAAGACTTTGAGTGTCAGTCTTTATAGGGAAGGCTGTGTTGCATTAATGCTGACAGTCCTAAGCACAGAGAAACTCCATTATATTCAGGTACCTTAATCCAAACAAACACACTATCTGATACCACCTTCAGAGGATGAGATAGCAGGAAAGTCATCACTTGATAAAAATCAAGTGATAATAGATTTTCATAGGGCATAGTGGCCAGGAAAGCCTCTGGGATGAGGAATGACAGTGTGATAATGTTCTAGTCTTTGCTTTGTTCTTGAAATCAGAGCATCCCAAGCATCTTAGGTTTAAAGAAGGATCTTCAGGGTTGTCAAATCTAACACAATCCTCAGAACATAAATCTCCCCTAAAACAGCACTGACCATCTGGCCTCCCACCAAATATGTTTAGGGATAAGGTACCTTTACCTCATCAGACAGCCTTGCAAGTCTTTGAAGGGTTCTAATAATTATAGTAAGGCTACTACACTATGCAAGATTACATCTGTCTTTATCTTCAGTGAAATTTGGCTCCTTTCATCACGACTCACTGGACCCATCTTTACTCTTTGAGGTCATACTAATCAAAGTACAATTCCTCTTTTACACAGCAGCTTTGCAGACACTGAAGGCAGCAATCATGACCTCTGAGCTTTGACTGAGGCTTTTCTTCTCCAGGCTACACCTACCTGGGGTCTTCCACCATTTCTCTCATGACCATTTTTAGGCCTTTGCATCTCTCAGTTATCTCCTTTTCTGGACACACCAAATTCTTCCTGTTCCCTTTGTAATATAACACGTAAAACCAGTGCAATACTGAAAGTGACTTCCCAACAAATATAAAGATGCTATTTTTCAAGGCAAAGAGAGTGTTCAGAACACACTTTAAACATCGGTCCAGGTGCTAAATGGGTCATCTGATTTCCATGAAGTTTTCACCCTTAGAATGACTGCAAGATACGTTGAGAGGTACCTTGTCCTCTGTTAAGGATGGTAAAATTTGAGGAAACAAGTCTTGTGAATGCTTTTTAGCATTCTTCAGGAAAATCATAAACTCAGTTAAACTGGTGTTCGGGTCATGCAGTTGGATTTACTTTAAATGCACCTACCGAGTCCCCAGCTCTAGTCTTGTAGCTGAAGAAAAAGAAAGAAACTTGCGCAGAATCTCTGCACGTAGGAGCTCAGCACTTAAATTAAGAAGCAAGTTTTGACATGGCAAGCAGTTAGAGATACATACAACAGTATAACCCATTGCTTGACCTAATCAGGCTCTATAAGCATCTTACTAAGTGTGCAGATGAATGTTGCAACCCACTAAGACTTCCAATGTGTGAAAGACAGGTGTGACGAAGACAGGTATTTTTAGCCTTTACCACACCATGTGAAGCATTCAAAAACTATTAGGAGAAGGGGAGACCAACAAAGACATCCAATTCAACGATTTAAGATAATTAGGAAACCAACTTGTCCTTCAGTGCGGAGGATTTCAGATCATCTCCTCCTTCCTTTCGCAAAACCTATCGTGGGAGAGTCTCTATTACACAGTTGTAGACCTGGACCAAATTGTTCCATGGGTAGTTTTGCATTTCCTTGGCCTGACAGTTTGCTTTTGGTTTCATTTCAGGTGATCAAGATCCTCAAATTGCAGCACATGTCGTAAGTCAAGCCGATGGGAAAACAGCATCTGGTAAGTCCCATAGCATCTGCCGGGCAGCCACTGAGGGGGCGGCAGAGATATGGAAGCAGAGCAGCCTAATGATTCAGCTTCTCTCTTCCTCAGGGGCCCAATTTACAAAGCTGCCCATACACCTCTCAAATGCTGTCCTTTGTCTTCAAAGTGAACTCCAGTGCACAGATGGGACTTTGAGGGACAAAGGGAGATGGGAAGAAATCCCAATGTTCTCATTACATTCTTGCTCAGTGGCTGATTCTAAATGATAAATTCCTGGGTGGAGAGACCATTATTCTGACAGCATAGGAGAAATGGCAGGTAGTGACCCCCTGCCTGGGGATATCCCTCCTTCTAGCCCCCCTTCACTGGGTGTAAATGGGCCTCCGGGGGTCTTTTCTGTCACCTGTCAACCCCTGTATGATTAACCCCAGCCTCACTGGGACCAACCTCAGGGAAATTAAAGGTAAAATCATTCTGTAAAGATCAATAGGTGCTAAGACGTTAGATTTTCCAATGAAGTAACAACATACGACATACTGTGTGATCTTTACAACCCTGAGTGATTTTATTTCCATATACGTTCTGCCATCATTCTAGCTCTTAGATTTTTTTTTCCCAAATCTGTATCTTGTGATAGTCGGTGCTGGAGACTGTGTCACATCTGATAAATGGATGGAAACATGTACACTAGCATAAAATCCCCCGTCTACATAAGGGCAAGAGCAACAGAGCAGTTTTTGAAAAATTCGGCAGTGTGCTCCGGAATGGAGCCTCTGAATCTCTAAATGCTCTGTGTGTGTGTGTGTGTGTGTGTGTGTGTGTGTGTGTGTGTGTGTGTGTGACATGCATGCAACAGAGGCAGAAACAAAGAAAGGAAGATACTGCTTCATCTCCGAGGTGGTGCGGGCTCCTCAGTGGGTATAAAATTCATGATTATATCATGGAGCTTGGTATGGAAGCGTGCCAGAGAGGGAGTTTTGGGCCTCTGGGATTCAAGAACCATGACAACCACCTGCTGAGTGACTTTAAGCAAGTCCCTGTAACTATGTAGCAGCTTCCTGCCTGGTGTACTTCACAGGGTAGCTTTTAGTATCAAATCAGAGAATGTGGAAGAAAGTTTTCTGTCAAGTTATGCTATGCCAATTTAAAGTGGCACTACTTAGCATACTTCACTGCGGTTTAGATGCCAAGAGTGACATAAAGCCCCTCATTAATGTCAGTTATTCCTATAACATCTAATAATCCTGTCATACACACCTTTCTCAGAAGATATACTAATGGGAGAATATCATAACTATAATACCATGCCCAGGAATATCTCTCTCTGTCTCTGTCTCTGTCTCTGTCTCTCTGTCTCTCTCTGTCTCTCTCTGTCTCTCTCTCTGTCTCTCTCTCTGTGTCTCTCTCTCTGTCTCTCTCTGTCTCTCTCTCTGTCTCTCTCTCTCTGTCTCTCTCTGTCTCTCTCTCTCTCTGTCTCTCTCTCTCTCTCTCTGTCTCTCTCTCTCTCTCTCTCTCTCTCTCTCTCTCTCTCTCTCTCTCTCTCTTGGTCTCCTTTCCCTATTAGGATTAAAACAAGAGACTTCATACTGTTCTATATCCCCGGCCCATTTATTATTCTTTATTTTCAGATAGGGTCTCACTAAGTAACTAAATTACCCAAGCTGTTCTCAAACTTGTGATCCTGTGTCAGCCTTCCAGATGTTGGGATTACAGGTGTGCACCACCATAAGCATCTAGACACCTTGTCTTTTGAATTCAATGACAGCAGCAGAGAAGCCTCCTAGAATCACCTCACCACTGGTCTTTGTCTACCTCTACCTAAATCATTGCTCTTAGATACAATTTGCAGAGTTCACACTCTCCCCAAAGGCTCAGGATTGATAGTGGTCCTACAGCATCATACAATCTATCACAGGAGGTCTGCAGGAGATAAGGCGGGGAGCCAGTAAGATTCCTCCTCCACCTCAAGCCCAAATCTCTCCTTCCTATCTGTTCATGCTGCTATGAACAGGTGGGGTCTTGAGCCCTGATGGGACTAAGACCACTGAATAAGAATGTTTTTAAAAGGTGAAGGAACCAAAGGCATCAACACTTCCCTTCTCCCCAACCCCCAACCTTGTCAGCCAATCTAGCACTCTGTGGGAGCTGAGATTTGAAATCGAGTGCACACACTACTTTGAACCCACTCAACATCTCAGCCGAGAAAATGGCACACCATTGATGGGTACTCTGGTTTAGCCACAAGAATACAGGTACTTTCAAGTTGGTGGCGCCCACTACAATGGGAGATCAAAACACAGTGAAATGCACAATTTATTTTCATATTTTCTGGCCTAATTTTAGTCCTCGCTGTGGGAGGCAACTCAGGTCTCAACAGCATGATCATGTTGGAAGAAGTGGGGTCTTTTCTCTGAGCTGAGTACACCTACAACTTTGGCTTTATAAAATTCAAGGCTAGTGGGCCAGGTGTGGTGGCACACATCTTTAATTCCAGCACTCAGGAGCGTGAGGCAGGAAGATCACAGTGAGTTCGAGGCCAGCCTAGGCTACATAATGAGTTCAAGGTCAGCCTGGTCTAGACAGTCAGATACTGTCTCAAAAGAAAAATTCACATGAGCAAGGTTTTCATGTTAATATTAGCAAGGATCTAGCCTAAATAATTTAGTATGCATGATTTATGATGCGGAATTTTGAAATCATTTGCACTGTCTCAAATTCAGGGGCAAATTGGCTTCAAGAATTGTAAAGAGAAAAGGAGTCTCGTCATGATCTTTATCTTCACAAGTCTCTGAAATGTGCTTTAATATTAGCCCACAATGCCGATGGGGAGCTAAGAGGAGCCTAGATTGGAACCTGGCTCTATCTGACTCTAAAGCCCATGCTAACTTGTAATCCATGACTGTGAAGACTGGGCAGGGCCTTGCGATTCTGTTCTCACACAAAACCAGTATCCAAACTTAAAATCTATTTCCTGTTAGACTGTGAACCATGCTCTGCTTCCCCCTCATGAATTTTCCCCTCTTTGTTACAGTTCTACAGTGGGCCGAAAAAGGATATTACACCATGAGCAGCAACCTGGTAACCCTTGAACACGGGAAACAGCTGACCATTAAAAGACAAGGATTCTACTACGTCTACACCCATGTCACCTTCTGTACTAATCGGGAACCTCCGAGCCAAACTCCATTTATAGCCAGTCTCTGTCTGAAGTCCACGAGTGGCTCCGAGAGAATCTTACTCAGGGCGGCGAATACCCACAGTTCCTCCAAATTTTGTGGGCAACAGTCCATTCATCTGGGAGGAGTATTTGAACTGCAACCAGGTGCTTCGCTGTTTGTCAACGTGACTGATCCAAGCCAAGTGAGCCATGGGACCGGCTTCACGTCTTTTGGCTTGCTCAAACTCTGAACAGTGCACCCTTCCAAGCTGCGGCTGAGCTGGCACTGGCAGTCTTCCCAATACAGCCAAGCAGTTGAGACCACCCCCACGGAACTGCCTATTTATAACCCTAGGATCCTCCTCGTGGAGAACTATTTATTGTACACCCCAAGGCATGTAGGGCTGTAATCAGTGAATTGCAGCGTGGGCGAGACCCTAACAGACCCCGCTCAGTAAGAGCTTGTATTCTGAAGCAGTAACCCCACTGATGCAGACACCCGGAGAGTCCTGTAAGAAGACAAGGCCAGTATGCACAGATAGAATCCTGAGTAAACAGCAGATAATTAGTCAAGTTCAGCTTTGTTTCTCTATGTGCAATGTCTCTCAGTGGATAATGTATTTGATTTACTGGCGAAGATGCAAAAGTAAGAATGGAGAGCCTCGGCTCACATTCAATTCTGGCTGACCCTGCAGCTCGGATGGAAGAGGCCAGGCACTAGAAAGTCTCTCAGGGTGGAGAGCTGAGAACCCAGTGCCCACCACTGCCTAACACTTATTCATCCTCTCCCTCTCTCTCTCTCTTCCTCCTCCTCCTCCTCTTCTTCTTCCCTACCCTCCCAATCTTATTCTCTGTCTCTCTCTCTCTGTCTGTGTCTGTCTGTCTCTCTCTCTCACACACACATACACATACCTGCACGTGCGCGCGCGTGCGTGCGCGCACACACACACACACACACACACACACACACACACCAGCCAGGCTGTTGCCACTCGGTTACCATATTTCTCCCATCCCTTATTTCTAAGCACTGTAGATGAGGGGAAGAGTGGCCCGAGCCTGCCCCTCCTCATCGCAAAATGACTGTATTTAAAGGAAATCTACTGTATCTCCCTGCAGTCTCCACTGTTTCCAGAGTAAACCTGTGTTTATCTTGTTATTTATTTTTGAGTAATAAAGATCCTTTAACATTGCTGTTGTTGTTCAGTACCTACAGCCCTCAGCCTGTTTGGGGAAAGAGGAAGTGCTTGGAGGAAATTGTGCCAACCTTTGTGCTTTCTTTCATAAACTGAATTCTCAAGTGTGGTACACAACAAAATATCTCAGTGACAGCACTCTCTGGAAGGCAGTTATGGCCTTTGATGGTGGGACACGGAAGCCTGTTCAGTGAAAAGCAATCTGAATCTTCGTTTCCAGCTTGCTCTAAAAAGGTTGCAGGAGATTGACTTTTTAAAATTAATCACAGCCAAATGAGGCTGAAGGAAGGCCTTAAATAAGAAGCTGTAACATGTCTTTTGAACAACTATCTAAGTGGCTGCACTTTTGGCAAGAGGAAATGGAGCTAAGATACTCTAACCCTGAGTATTGGCCTCCATTGCCCACTGAAGGCAATCAAGTCATTTCTGGTGATCATCAATTGAGGAGTTATTTATGGAAGAAACTGTGTGGTATCTTCACTTTAACCATCATAGTTCTTTGCTTAAGGCAACACCACATGTTCATCCAAAAAAAATGACTATAGAAATAAGAAAGAGAAGGAGTGGGGGTGGCATCCGCTCTGGGCCACCGCCCCTGCTCTTCAGTCCTGTGGCTGCTACAGCCCCTTCTGGACCCTGAAGAGCTTGCAGCAAACACCTGCCATGCAGCCGAAAGTGTGCCAGACAAATTTGCATGCTGTGCACTTTCTCCAGCGAGAGAAATTTGATATGAGCACGAGTGACACTTTGATTTGGGGACTCACTAGAGATCCGTCCACATTGCTTTTGGTGCCCACTGTGTTAACCTCTGTAGAAGAGGCTCGAAGGTCCTGGGGGAAGCAACTGTAGCAGCTGAGCAGACAGTGGCCATGATGGTCGTCCAGGCAAAGGCCCTCCTTAGGAAAGCCAGCGTCCTGGGCCTATCTGAGTCCTGGATTTGGCCAAAGTGACAGAGAGAAAGATGACTGAAGCCCCGGACATTTCCCCTTCATGCTGACTGCCACACTTCTACAGTTTGCCCACATGACACAGTGAGGCAGCGAGAGGCATCACTCCCTTGGTAAGATTCATTTGAAATGAATCCGAGTCCACTTGGGCTGATTTTGAAAATACTCTTCACATATTTTGGATTCAAAAATTGCCTCTGCATTTCACCCTGCCTTCTCTTTCCTTGGGAAGCACTTTCTTCCAGATTTTTTCTACCTCTAGTAACCACATTGCCCATAGTATCTGTTACCAGAAGTAATGCTATTGATACAAAAGCACTCTGCATTTTCTGGGCTACCTCTTATTTGCCTGTAGTTTCTGATGCTCTCTGAGTGCCACCTCCGGTAGCTCCAGCCCAGCCCCTTGCGCTAAGCTTCATCCTCACACAGCCAGCTGCTCTCAGCCTCTGAGTGGATTCCTAGCAAAGTCACCCTGCCCTTCCCAGGGGCTTCAGGTCGCATCCTTCACCATCTTCTCTTTCTGTCCGGCATGCTTCCCATGGATTGTCTCTCCTGGGCTTGTGGTTTTAATTACCACTTTCATGTTACTGATACAATACTTTTAATTTTTGCCCAGTCCTTAGAATATCCCTGTGTCTCTAGGTGGTGAACCCAGGGACTCCATGCCAAACCCCACGTGCCTGTGCTAATCAACCCTACTTCTTGCATGGCTCTTAATCCTCTTCTTCCTATCTCTATGCCACTGTCCTGGCCCAAGCTTTTATCTGCTCCCTTCTGGAACAGAAGGGCAGCCTCCTAGACTTACTTCCGCCACTCTTATTTGCTCCCATCTGTTCTCTAGGCACAGCCACCATGAATTGTTAAGTATTGTCCTGAATGTACCACACCCTGCCTCTTAGTGACCTTAAAATGAAGACCAAAATAATGATCTTATGCATTCCCTGCCCGTACGTCTCTGTGACATAAATTGTAACTTCTAATGTTACAAACATTTTGCCTCCTTAGGACCCTGACACGCTGTTTGCTTGTAAGCTCCATTCCCTTCCCCCACTACACACTGCACTTAGCAAGTGTTTTAAGCAACCACTTACTGTGGTTGAGGTTTTCCCTCCTGTGTTCTGAGCTTCATGAGGACCAAGACCTGATCACCATGGTAACTTCTATGTCTATCATGGGGACTGGCAGAGAATTGGGCCTTTGTTTGTTGTATGAAAGAATAAACAAATGAATAAACTCAGCTTTGTGTACCTCAATAATCCATGAAATTTGTATACTGATTGAAACAAAATTTTGAAAAAATATAAAGATCTTAATTAGGTAAAAAATAAATTATAAACATGCCTCCATGGAATGCAGAACAACAGTGAATTATACTACAGATAAAAATAGGTAACATATTTTCATAATAATTTTCATGATAGTTTGCAAAATATCATGTGATGTTTGCTTCAAACTTCACTTGAACACTTTCCAAACTACTCCAATAAGTGACAAGGATTTGGGCACATTTTTGATCTACAGGTAGTACTGTGATCATAAACTATCTAACTTAGCACCATTTTTATAAACAGGTTATTTCTGTATTCCATCTAAAATTAGGGCAAGAATGTTGGAAATACCCATAATTCTAGAGGGACACCAAATGAACAAAGTATAAACTGTTACTGCCTTTGTTACTTGATAGGAAGCAACTGACTGGGAAATGCAAATGGTCTGCTTCAATAAGCAGTCAGTACAGGGGCACCTAATTTAAAGGGAAACAACACAGGAGCAAACACAAGACACTTTGTGCCATAGCTGACTGTTTCCACGGCATCTGATACCTTTGCATTAGGACATGCACAGCAAAAACCTTTTTAAAAAGTTTGAAGCACTTTGAGGCACAAAAGCATGATTTTTTTGTTACTTTGTTTTTCCTCTCTAAACCACATCCCTATTTTTAAAAAAAAACAACAAAACAAAACCAGAAATACTCATTTACAATATTGTGACTAAGACTGCAGCCAGGCAGATATGGTCTTAATTTAGGTTCTACTTTTTACTAACTGCTTTAACTGAGGTGAGTCATTTCACCTCCTCTGGGCTGCAGAGTCCTCATCTGTAGAATGGGTGTGATAAGAATATTCTTCAGGGTGCTTAAGGATTCCATGAAATGATGCACAGATGTCTCAGTGGAGTTTTCTTTCTCATACAGATCATCATATAGAGAGTAACAACGTGGGTCTCCATGTGCCCCCTGCATGCCAGTCTGCATTCTGTGCAAGTGGGCAGGACAGCAGCTTAAATAGTTAAATTTTCTAAGCCCAAGAATAGCTGGCAGCCCAGGTATACAAACAACCTTGCGTAGGCAATAGTAGACCAAGGACCACACCCAAGTTGAAGCAAAAAAAGAAAGGAGAAGAGAGGAGAGGAGAGGGGAAGGGAAAGGAAGAGAAAAGACAAGAAAGGGAAGGAGAGAAAGGGAGAGAGAGGGAGAGGGAGGGAGGGAAGGAAAAGCAAAAGAAACAGGTTAAATTATGGACACACACACATATAATATTAGAGTAGATCTATCTATAGAAAAGACTTTTTGTAACTTTATTATCAGAAACAATCATTGGCAGCTCGAAGTTACCAGAATTTTCAGCAAGCCTGAGCAGTTCTATTTTTAAGAAGATTTCTTCAGATGACTACAATCATTGCTTCTCCTTCTGAGGGATGTCAGCACACAAATACAATTCTTTCATATCACACTCTTCTGAGCAACTGTGAAAGCAACTCAGCAATTCTCAGGAACTGATATCAGTTTAATATGTAGTTTTTTCCTCTATTGTTCATTCCTGGAGTTCTACTAAGTATCTATCAGTTTATAATATTTTTCTTGTTAATGTAATCCAACTTAAAAGTCCAATAATGTTTGCTCATAATCTGTACCCCTGTCTTCTGTACCTCTCAGATTGTAAATCTTCTGTTTTGGAGCCTAATATGCAGCCTTTAATACCTCTTAGATTTGACTCACTTTTCTTGTGCTGGGGAGTTAGTTTTTCCTATCCATCCATTCACTCATTAACACTGATCGAAGGGTAAAAGTTCTGTGCGGTGCATCTGTGGCACACAGAGATTATTGTGATCCAGTCCCTATCCTTGAGTAGCTTACAGTCGTTTACAAAACAAGTGTGTAAAGATTTTAGGCCTGGTGCAAATTCTGTAGCATGGTAAGGAAACACAAAAGAGACAAGGGGATGCATCTGTTAAAGAGAGGGGTGACAAGTGCCCAAACTAGGCAATGGTCATGAGTATGAAGAGGAGCAGTTAAGGGAGTACAGTTGTTAAAATGATAACACTTGATGGCTAGACTTACAAAGCACTGATGTATAAGTTTATAAAGGCTTGTGCAAACTCGATCACTAGCTCTGCATGATGTGGCAGGAGCTAAGGGAACCAGGTTTGCTAAAGTAATTGCGGTGATAGGACTATATTAGCCTCAGAAGCTACTGGTGTAGTTTGTTCTATCCCCATATAGTAAAAAAAAGTTTATAAAGGCTTGAGGAAGAGGATGGGATGAAGAATAAAGCCCATGTTTCGGACATGTGCAACTAAATGGCTAGAGTATTTTTACTGGTGTGGAAACCGTGGAGAAACTGATTTAGAAACACAGATGAGGAGTTCAGTTTTTGGGTGCACTGGGTTAGAAGTGATGCAGGCCATCCAAGCTGAGATGTGCAGCAGGTAGCTGCATCTATGGTCCAGAGCTTGGGGAAAGGTAATAATGGAAAAATACTGACATGGCAGTCATCTGCATTGTGATAAATGCTTTAGGCAAGGTTTCCTAGAAAGAGGCTATAGAATGAAAGAGGAAAAGAGTGCCAGGGACAGGCAAAGGAGGCAGGGACAGCAGTGAGGACTGAGGGGGATGATCAGAAAGGTGGAATGTGATGATGAAGACCAAGGAAGAAGATATCTACCAGAAGACAGGGTCAGATACTGCAGGCAGGTCAGGACAGACACTAAAAAGCAATTTCCAGGATATGTCAATAAGAGCTCACTGGTGACCTTGGTAAGGGAGACAG